TTGCTGATATGTATATATTTATGCATATGGGCTTATATATATTTATATATATATATATATATATATATATATATATATATATATATATATATATATATATATATTACTTATATATATATATATATTATATATATATATATATATATACTACTATATATATATATATATATATTATACCAGACCTATATTTACTTCCTGGTGTCGCTTATTACAACAGGTGCGCTCATACTAGGGAAGACCACGACCACAGAATTCGCGAGCCTCAGCAACACAATACAAACCGTGAATCCCCACAATCACAGGAGAACTCCTGGCGGCAGCAGCAGGTGTGTCTATCCGTAGCAGTGCCCAAACAAACAGTACAGAACAGTACCTACAGCAAAGTAGAATGCAGTTAAAGTATTATCCCAACAGTCTATACTATAGAGTGTGACAGAGTGGTACTATGTAGCGTATCTGGCCACCTATCGGGACAAATCTTTGAAACGAAGCACGTAACCAATGTTTATAAATAAAATTTTTATTGTTTGAAGAAGAAAAATTCTTGAAGATCTATTGATCGTGCGATAGGTTTGTGCGAGTTCCCATTCATATGCGAATAGAGCGCGCAGAAGGTTCACTTAGAATGCATTCGACTGCGCCTGAAACTTCTCTTTCATACCATAAGATCATCCTAGACTCCTGCAGTACGTTGTGCTATCCTCTACCCAGCAAACGAACACCCCGATATACTATTTGTTCACTGCCTACTGTAGACTGTTTGTCGGCACATCAATACCCGGCATTGTCTAGGTATATCATCCTTGCCTTTTGCACCGAGGACACTATCGGCCTACCTACTCACAACACACCTATACTTGTCTAACTACACGCAGCACACCTCTATCTGTCTACCTACAAACAACACATCTCTATCTGTCTACCTTCATACTACACACATCTATGTGTCTACCTAAACAATACACCTCTATCTGTCTACCTACAAACAACACATCTCTATCTGTCTACCTTCATACAACACACATCTATGTGTCTACCTACACAACACACCTCTACCTGCCTACCTACACACAACACACCTCTGTAACTACCTTGCACTGTCCTCATAGCAGCGGTTCACCAATCGCTGTAGCTGCGCGATTGCGTCTGGCGTTCGCTGCTTCGCTCGAATTCTGCGGATCTATTAATAGACGCTGCATACTGTGATATAGGTAGTAGGTAGGCTACCAACCAATACGCAGCACTTCCTACCTACCCCCAACCTACTAAACCCTAAACCCTATACCCTAAACCAAACCCTAAACTCTCTAAACCCTATACCCTATACCCTATACCCTAGACCAAACCCTATACCCTAAAAGTAACCTCAAGAACACCATTAGACTACGCCTCACCCACCACCACTTCGTCCCCTTCCTTCCCCATGCCTTACCTCAGTGGATCAGCTGCGGCGGCGGGTGCTGGTCTGTGCCCTTTAGCCATTGGTACACAGACCACCGGATCTATAAATAGACCGGCTGCCTTCTGTGGAGTCGTGGGCTACAAGCCCAGCTATGCGCGCATACCGCGCGATGCCGTATTGGCACATGCGCACTCATTGGACCATGTGGGGTAGGTGTAGTGTGTGCATCTATTTGTGCATCTTTATAGTAGTTGTGATCGTGCATGCTTGCTTTATGTAGTGTGCGTATCTATTTGTGCTTCTATGTAGTGGTTGTGATGGTGCAATGCTTGCTTTATGTAGTGTGTGTATCTATTTGTGCATCTATGTAGTGGTTGTGATTGTGCATGCTTGCTTTGTGTAGTGTGTGTATCTATTTGTGCATCTTTATAGTAGTTGTGATCGGGCATACTGGCTTTATGTAGTGTGTGTATCTATTTGTGCATCTATGTGGTAGTTGTGATCGTGCATGTTTGCTTTGTAGTGTGAGATGTGTGTGTAATCTCTGTCCGTCTAGTCGCTTCTAACTGTGGTGCAGTATCGTATGTATGTGTGTATCGTATGTGTATGTGTATTGGGTGTGTATGTTCGTCTAGTCGCTGCTGACTGTGGTGCAGTATCGTATGTGTATGTGTATTGGGTGTGTATGTTCGCCTAGTCGCTGCTGACTGTGGTGCAGTATCGTATGTGTATGTGTATTGGGTGTGTATGTTCGTCTAGCCGCTGTTGTCTCATACGAGTATGTGTATTGGGTGTGTATCTTCGCGTACTTAAGCGTGCCCGTCTGTATTTTGGTTCGTCATGAGGCGTGAAGCACATAGCGCACGACGGTGTCTTACCTCATACCCACTGCTTCGATTGTATTGTGTATAAGGTATACATACACACCCCATTTGTACGCAGCCAATAGATCAACTTAAACTCGGATCAACTTAAACTCATGTTCTATTGTGAAAAAATCCATACATACAAACCTAATTATACATCAACCTAATCACATGTGGTGTTGTGTAGAATCCATACATACATACCTTGTTTATTCCATACATACACACCTCATTTGTCCACAGGCTAATACATCAATGTAAATACATGTTGTATTGTGTACAATTCATACATACACACCTCATTTGTACACGGGCTAATACATCAACTTAACCGCACGTTGTCTTGTGTACAATCCATACATACACACCTCATTTGCACACAGGCCAATATATCAATGTAAATACATGTTGTATTGTGTACAATCCATACATACACACCCCATTTGTACACAGGCCAATAAATCAATGTAAATACATGTTGTATTGTGTACAATCCATACATTCACACCTCATTTGTACACAGGCCAATACATTAACTTAACCGCACGTTGTATTGTGTACAATCCATACATACACACCTCATTTGTACACAGGCCAATACATCCATACATACACACCTCATTTGTACACAGGCCAATACATCAATGTAAATACACGTTGTAATGTGCACTATCACTCATGACATGACAGATTATTTGCCACCGATCTGAGCGGAATCCAGTTGATGGCGCCTGTGGTAGTGTCGCAATGGAGTTCGCAACTCACACCAACATCACTCAGAAAAACCGCAGCACCAGTACTGGGCATACCCACAGGTGCGTACTTGGACCAAGCAGATGATCAAGCACGCAGCCAGTTTGAACGAGACTGTGGCAGATTGGAACGAGCCGGATTTATCTTGAAGAAGATTGGAATGTTTCCCAGCTACTCTGGTAAGACTGCAGTATATATATATATATATATATATATATATATATATGTGTGTGTGTGTGTGTGTGTGTTGTGTGTGTGTTTGTGTGTGTGTGTTTGTGTATGTGTGTGTGTATGAATGTGGTTGTCGGTGTAGGTGTGGGTGAGGTTGTGTGTGTATAAGGGTGTATGTGTGTGTATGTGGATGCGTGTGTGTGCGTGTGTATTTGTATATATGTATAACGCATGTGTTATATACATGTTAGCGTCAATGACGCAAGTGCAGCTGAGTGTCTGCTATTGATAGATTGAGCGTACCAAAATACCAAAAACGACCGCACCGGACAGAGGTTCTATGGTGGTCTCACAGTTCCCCTCTAATTCTAGGGTTGTTTCATATTCATTTAGATGAATCCCTTCAAGTCCATGTGTAAGCGTATGTAGCTGTCATGTATTTTACATGCGTTTGCATATATGTAAACTTATTTTGCTAGCCTCAACAATGTGCGTATGTTAAGATACTGAACAAGCACGAGCAATGTGCCTCTATACGAATGGCCCACGATAGGTAGACCCATGGTAGATACACCCGTGGTAGGTGGCAGAACGACCACTCACGCACTATCCCCTCATATAAACTCCGCCCATGGACTCGTCCTATACACCACGCCTCTTTGCTTGTCCACCGCGCAGTCTATTTGTTAGTTGCTTGGCTCTGACTAGATACCCTAGGGATCTGTGCTTATTAGGAGTACCCACCGAGTTAGTTCCGAGTTAAGATAGGCATGTTAATGGAGACTACACAGACTATCTATCGGTGACACGAGTGACAGTCCGAGTGACAGCAGCACAAGTACACGTACGCTTTCTTTTGGTTAATTTAGGCACCTGTTTCACATGAATGCACCTTGTACATATGTGTTGTCTGCTCGAAATAAGGTTGGGACTGTAGCTCGGTATCAAACGCCATCACAGATATACCATTATAGCACACGGATGCACTGGTATATGTATATGTATATGATTACATCCGTATGTTAAATTAATCTAAGCTGTCCCATCTATACAATGATCGCATATGCACACACCAGGATATATTCTCCATGCTCGATCACATGCTCATACCGATATATACCTGAACAGATTGTACTCTACCTTCATGTGTACATATTCAATTGTATTCCCCGCATATGCACATACCAGGATATATCATCCATGCTCGATCACATGCACATACCGATATATACCTGAACAGATTGTACTCTCGCTTCATGTGTACACATGCAACTGAATTCAATTTCCAACCGTCTCTCTTACGTCTTCAGACATCGCACTGCGTCATCATACGCTAATGAATGCGGAGTTCGCCTCTGAGCACGCGGAGTTGTACCCTCCTTACAGCCACCTCTACCACCCGCACACAGCAGGTATGCCTTGTTCACTCACCTTTCACAACCACAGACGTCCAGACATGCGGTTTGGTAAGACCACTCAAAAGGCCACGCTGTGTGTCACGAATGACCCGTGTTTTGATATATACTATCTGGCTGTGGAAGGTATGCGGTTTGGTATGACCACTCATAAGGCCACGCTGTGTGTCACGGATGACCCGTGTTTGTGTGTACTATCTGGCTGTGGAAGACTGTGTACTGTACAGTTCGTGCTGACTCTCTATGTGTGTGTGTATTGTGTGCATATCCTCCTTGGTACCCCGGGCTACTGTGGCTCGGTTGGTATGGCCACACCAAACGCAACCGTGTTGGTGTATACGACTTCGCTGTGTAGCGCTTGTCCAGTTCTGTGGAAACTGTGTACTGTACAGTGCGTGCTGCTTCTGTGTGTGTTTTGTGTGCATAACCTTTTGTGCTGAGTCTGTTTGTGTTTTGTGTTTTGTGTGCATAACCTTCTTGGTGACCAGGGTGCTGTGACTCGACGATCATCCATTGCCACTTATGAAACTTGCGTTCAAATATTTTGTGACGTTAAACGTTGTTGTACCTGAAGCTCCTTTGCGACTGTTTCGATGTTGCTCTGTTGTAGTATCCAAAGCTTTACCCAAGTTCCTACGCTTCCTATTTATGTTTCAAGCTATATGTATCTATTTACAATCACCTGAGTGGATGGAGGGGGGATAGATTTGACTGTCGTTTGATCACATAAGTACGGAAATAAGTATAGTGTTGTACTTGAGTAGCCCACCAATCTACTGCACGAGTATGTCGGGGCCAAATCTGTGGGAGGACCTCGAATCAGATTACGTTAAACGTTTATTTCTTGCCACAGATATTATACTGGCGGGCTGGGATGTATCTGAAAGCGTTCGTCAGGAGATTCGCAACGCTCGGCTGCAGATGAGAGCGGCAGTTGAGCTTATCATGGATACTGAGTCTATAGACGCGTGGATTACTCCCGGGTGAGTTTATACTTCACAAAGCACACTCGTATCTGTATCTGTATAGGCCAGTACTCTTTGCGAGTGTGTATGTAGATGTTCGCGATATAGATGCATAATAACTTACCGGATATCTCCTCTGGTGTTATGGCGTGCGAGGCTGTAAGTGTAAAGGAATGAATGGTGAACGGGCGGCTTGGTGTGTGTGCTGGTTTGTTTTCCGAAAACTAGTCTTTGTGTAGCGGTATTGACCGTATGCCGTAACACCTTTATTCATTAGATCAAATAGCGTGGAAGTCTAAGTATTAGCAAACACGCGCACAGAGGCAATTTGTGCTTGCGCATTCTATGCATACAAATACATTTATTCATGTATATACATATAACCTGTATATACATATAACCAATAGGATTTTTATTCATGAACATGTAAAGGCTGATTTTAGGATTATATTCATTTCTATATGAAGACTAAATATACACTATAACCCTTGTTTTCATTTCACAACCCCTGCTTGAACATATATATATTTATATATATATATATATGTGTGTGTCTGTGTGTCTGTGTATGTATGTA